CCTCTGACTTTATGTGAAATAAGCACAACATATATATATATTGTGCATATATATAATGTCCGGGGAGCATATAAATAGATAGATAGATGTAATGTAATGTTCATTTGTGGGATTAACAGAACTCAAAAACCACTGGACAAATTGATATCAAATTGGAACACAAAACATCTAACAACCCAATGTATGCCCTTCGCTCAAAAAATTGATTTTGTCATTTGGGAGTTGTAGTTGCTGGGATTTATAGTTCACCTACAATCAAAGAGCATTCTGAACCCCCACCAACGATGGAATTGAACCAAACTTGGCACACAGTTCTCCCATGATCAACAGAAAATACTGGAAGGGTTTGGTGGACAGTGTCCTTTGGTTTTGGAGTTGTAGTTCACCTCCTTCCAGAGAGCACTGTGGACTCAAACAATGATGGATCTGGACCAAACTTGGCACAAATATTCCATATGCCCAAATATGAACACAGATAGAGTTTGGGGGAAATAGACCTTGACATTTGGGAGTTGTAGTTACTGGGATTTATAGTTCACCTACAATCAAAGAGCATTCTGAACCCCACAAATGACAGAATTGGGGCAAATTTCCCACACAGAACCCCCATGACCAACAGAAAATACTTAAGGCCATACAGTCCAACTCTCTTCACCAGGGCAAGAAAATCTAATCAAAGCCCTCCTGACAAAGACCCATCCAGCCATAGATATATATAATTCACACATATAGAATATGTGATAGAATATCATAGATTTGAAAGGGATCCCTAAAGGACAATGATATGTTGCATATTCCAGAGTAGGCAAACCAGACACTCCACATCAACACTAACAAAGAAACAACAAGAAATACTGTTTACCCACAAGCATAAAGAAATTACATAGATTAGAAACTATTACTTTATTTCCCAGATCACCAGACTGGGCCACAGCAATGTGTGGCAGGGGACAGCTTGTGTGTGTGTGTATATATATATGTATATGAAAGGTTTTCATGAGATATGTTGTCTCCACATATATTCTGTTATTGCAATTTATGTCCATATCTCTTACAAAGGGTTGCTAGAAAAACTGAATTACTGTATTGTGAAATGGGGCGTGTCTAAAAAGTGCATCACCAACGTGAAATGTTTGGAAAGTTTCTATCGACTTCTAGTCTACATATCCTGGAAAGCCATGACTAGGATTAGTGTATGACACATAAATACCATCATCGCACGTGATAAGTCTACCCATGGATTTCATCATCTTCCTACAATTTTTCTCTATGAATGGGAACACATTTGAAAGCTAAAAGATGCAATTGGGATATAATGGATTGCTCTGATAATATGTGCACAATACATTCCTTTAAGGATCTCAAAGCAGCATACATGGGGATTCCCAAAGCAGAACACCCTGACTAATACCAAATCAGCCGTATAGATCTATGTTGAAGTCAGATTTGTTTACCCGCTTCCCTTACTGAGCACAATAGCATTTTCTCCAGGTATTCAATCTCATTTCCCAGTAACATAGAATCAAAGAGTTCTATGTTTTTATTCAGGCAGGCTTTTCAAGATGAAGAATTTTAAGATCAATTCAGGGGGTGCTGTGGTTTTTAACTCTGAATGTGTTTTAATGGTGTTTAACTGGAAATATTTTAATACTAGTTATATTTAATCCTGCTTTAATGTTTCTATATTTGTATATTTTAAATTGTTATGCTGATGCTTTTACGTTAGCCGTTAACTACTATTTGGGGGAAATAAAGCTGAGTATAAATAAATATAAGTCAGAGAAGAAGAAGGACCATCCAGTCCAATCCTAATCGCCATACAGGAAAGCACGATCAAAACACCCCCGAGAGATGGCCATCCAGCCTCTGCTTAAAAGCTTCCAAAAAAGAGCTTCCACCACAATCTGAGGCAGAGGGCACAGGAAGTTCGTTCAAATGTTTAAGGGGATTTTTTTCTTACAGCAATTTGAATCTATTGCTCCGACTCCTAGGCCCCTTCCACAAAGCTGCATAAAATCCACGTTGAACTGGATTATATGACAGTGTGGACTCAGATAACCAGTTCAATGCAGGTATTTTGGATTATCTGCCTTGACATTCTGAGTTATATGCCTGGGTAAAGAGCCCTATGTCTTCTCTCCGAATAGGGATGGATAGCCAATACTCCAGAAGACAGGAGCAGAATTCAAAATGATCTTTGACAGAGAGATGGGCGAAAACTAACAAAATGAAGTTCAACAGTGACAAATACAAGATACTCCACCACTTAGGCAGAAAAAATGAAATGCAAAGATACAGAATGGGGGACGTGTGCCTCGAGAGCAGTACATGTGAAAAAGATCTTGGAGTCCTTGTGGACAACAAGTTAAACATGAGCCAACAATGTGATGCGGCGGCAAAAAGAGCCAATGGAATTTTGGCCTGCATCAATAGGAGGCCAGGGAAGTCATGCTACCCCTCTATTCTGCCTTGGTTAGACCACATCTAGAATACTGTGTCCAATTCTGGGCACCACAATTTAAGGGAGATATTGACAAGCTGGAAAGTGTCCAGAGGAGGGCGACTAAAATGATCAAGGGTCTGGAGAATGAGCCCTATGAGGAGTGGCTTAAGGAGCCATGATGGCCATGTACAAATATGTGAGAGGAAGTCACAGGGAGGAGGGAGCAAGCTTGTTTTCTGCTGCCCTGGAGGCTACGATGCGGAACAATGGCTTCAAACTACAAGAAAGGAGATTCCATCTGAACATTAGGAAGAACTACTTTAGAAACCTTTAAAAAAGAAACTCAAGACCTGGCTCTGCCGTTGCGCTTTCGGAGAGTAATCCCATAATCTTATGCTATTGCTCCCTCAACATTCTTGTCCTAGGAGTACACCCCCCCCCCTTGTACGAAGGTCTGATTATTTCCCTGTCTCTCTGAGTTCTCCCTTACAAATAATTCTGCTCCTTTATCTCACCCTGAGTTTTTAAATCATTTTACGTACATGCGGCCCACTCACTGTCATTACGTTTGGTTTCGTTTTTTTTCTTCTCTTTATGTTTTGTGTATATTGTTTATATGCTTATATGTTTTATATTTTAATGCTATGTTGTTTATTTTATTGCAATTTGTATATTATTTTATTGTATTTTGTTGTTCGGGCTTGGCTTCATGTAAGCCGCCCCCAGTCCCCGTTGGGGGAGATGGTGGGTGGGTATAAATAAAGTTTATTATTATTATTATTATTATTATTATTATTATTATTATAAGAACTTCCTGACCGTGAGAGCCGTTCAGCAGTGGAACTCTCTGCCCTGGAGTGTGGTGGAGGCTCCTTCTTTGGAGGCCCTTAAACAGAGGCTGGATGGCCATCTGTCGGGGTGTTTTGAATGCAACATTCCTGCTTCTTGGCTGGGGGTTGGGCTGGATGGCCCATGAGGTCTCTTCCAACTATATTCTCGGAGCCCTTCCACAGCGCCATATAACCCAGTATTACATCTGACCTTTCCATAAGTTTTTAAACATTTGCGTATTATTGTTTATATGTGAGTTATATTAATAGTATTGTTTTACTTGCTTATTGTTTTTGTTCTATTGATGTGTTGTTGAGCTTGGCCTCATGTAAGCTGCTCCGAGTCCCCTTGAGGAGATGGTGGCGGAGTATAAAGTTGGGTTGTAGGTTTTTTCGGGCTATATGGTCATGTTATTTATGTGTAAACCGCTTTGAGTCCCCCTAGGGGCGAGAAAGGCGGTAAATAAATAAATATATAAATACAAATAGTCTACTACAGGGTCCTCAAACTTTTTAAACAGAGGGCCAGGTCACAGTCCCTCAAACTGTTGGAGGGCCAGATTATAGTTTGGAAAAAATATGAATGAATTCCTATGCACACTGCACATATCTTATTTGTAGTTCAAACAACACTTAAAAACAATACAACAATTAAAATGAAGAACAATTTTAACAAATATAAACTTATTTGTATTTCAATGGGAAGTGTGGACCTGCTTTTGGCTGATGAGATAGGATTGTTGTTGTTGTTGTGTGCTTTCAAGTCATTTCAGACTTAGGTTGACCCTGAGCGAGGGCCTAAATGACCTTGGGGGGCCGTATCTGGCCCTCTGTGTAAAAAGTTTGTGGACCCTGTTCTAGAGGCATTCTCTCCTGACGTTTTGCCTGCATCTATGGCAAGCATCCTCAGAAGTAGTGAGGTCTGTTGGAACTAGGAAAATTGGGTTTATATATCTGTTAGGCTTGGGCAATCCATGGTTCTAAATGGTTCTAAAGTACTTACAAAACTAAAGTTCTGGTGGTGAAAATTTCAGAACTCTAACAAAACTTTCAAAATTTAATTATTATTTCATTATTGGTGATTTTAATGACAGAACCAATTAGGAACTGCCATTTATTATGAAATTTTGAGAGTTTTGTTAGAGTTCTGAAATTTTCACCACCAGAACTTTAGTTTTGTAAGTACTTTAGAACCATTTAGAACCATGGATTGCCCAAGCCTAATATCTGTGGAATGACCAGGGTGGGACAAAGAACTGTTGTCTGCTGGACTAGGTGTCAATGTTTCAACCGACCACCTTGATTAGCATTTGATGGCCTGGCAGTGCCTGGGGCAATCTTTTGTTGAGAGGTGATTAGATAAAGATTATTATTATTATTATATCAAGGCAGATAATCCATAATGTTTGCTTTGAACTGGGACAATGTGGTATTTTATCCAGCTGTGTGGCAGGGGCCTAAATCTGGCCCTTTTTGGAGAAAGATCTGCTGGCTCTGGGAAGTAATTTTCTGAGGTAACTGCAACCCATTTCCCTTTATGTTTTGGTAGTTTGTTTAACGTTGTGTTAACATGATGACTGACTTGAAAAGAGAAACCAATTGGTCGGCCTGATTTAAGAATTGTAAAAACGTTACATAATGACCAAAGACCGCATTGAGGCGGGGAGAGAAGCCATGAACCAAGGAAGGAAGGAAGGTCGGCAGGGGAGAGGAGAGGAGGGACTCACCGTTGGAGAGCGCCTGCTGGAGCTCGAGGTCCGAGATGATCCCGCTGCGGTCCTTGTCGACCCTGAGAGAGAGAGAAGGAGGGAAAGGGAGAGGGCAGTCAGGGCAGTCTCTTCTCGAGCGAGCGAGCGAGCGCGGGAAGGGAACGCGCCGAGGAGGAGGAGGGGGAGGAGGGGGAGGGGGACTCACCTCTGGAAGACTCCCCACAAGAAATTCGGGTCCGCCATTGCTCACGCGCCTCAGCCCTTCAGTTGGAGAGAGAGAGAGTCTGAGAGAGAAGGAAGGGAAAAGCCAAAGGAAGGAGGAAAGGGCGGGCCCTGCTGCCTCCTCAGAGAAGCACCGAAACTCCTCCACGGAAGGAGGGAGGGAGGGAGGGAGGCCGTCCCTGAGAGGGGCGTCGCCCTGAGAGAGAGAGAGGCCTCCCCTCCCCCACTGGGCGCCTCCCTCGCTCTGAGGGGAGTCGCAGAAGTCGCGCGGACGGGGCTCTCCCCTGCCCGTTTGCCGCGCCATTTTGGCTCCTCCTACAACTCCACTTGGAACGTGATTGGACAAGGCGCCTCAGAGGAATTCCACGGCGACGAAGAGAGGGGTTCCAGCTCTGGTATCACGTGGTGTGACTTCATCGGAGAGAAGCGGGGGAAAGGTCTTCTGCGAGGAGGAAGCGTCTTCATTGCGTGGCCTTCCGTCTTTATTTATTTATTTATTTAGGTTCTTGTGGGTTTTTCCGGGCTATAGGGCCATGTTCTAGAGGCATTTCTCCTGACGTTTCGCCTGCATCTATGGCAAGCATCCTCAGAGGTAGTGAGGTCTGTTGGAAATAGGACAATGGGTTTTATTTATTTATTTATTTATTTATTTACTGCATTTGTTAACCGCCGCTCTCAGCCCTGGGGCGACTCGTGGCGGTGTACAACATATAAAAACAGTTTACAAAAGCACACAATATATCAACAAACCATATTACACATTAATCTAATCACATTAACAAATCCGCACCGTCACAACATAGAATCATAGCCAGTCTCATTATCCATAATCCGTTCCAGTTGTCATTACCAGATTCGTGTAGCTCTCAATTAAATGCCTTCTCGAATAGCCAGGTCTTTAGGCTCTTACGGAAAGCCATAAGGGAGGGCGCCTGTCTGATGTCAACAGGGAGGGTGTTCCACAGCCGGGGGGAGATGTAATGTTCGTATGACCAGGGTGGGACAAAGAACTCTTGTCTGCTGGAGCTAGGTGTGAATATTTCAACTGACCACCTTGATTAGCATTTGATGGCCTGGCAGTGCCTGGGGCAATCTTTTGTTGAGAGGTGATTAGATAAAGATGATGATGATTATTATTATATAAAGGCAGATAATCCACAATGTCTGCTTTGAACTGGGACAATGTGGGATTTTATTCAGCTGTGTGGAAGGGGCCTAAATCTGGCCCTTTTTGGAGAAAGATCTGCTGGCTCTGGGAAGTAATTTTCTGAGGTAACTGCAACCCATTTCCCTTTATGTTTCGCCTGCATCTATGGCAAGCATCCTCAGAGGTAGTGAGGTCTGTTGGAACTAGGAAAATGGGTTTATATATCTGTGGAATGACTGGGGTGGGGCACAGAGCTCTTCTCTGCTGAAGCTAGGTGTGAACGTTTCAGCTGACCACCTATTTATTTATTTATTTATTTCAGTTACTTTTACCCCGCCCTTTTCAACCCCCGAGGGGGGACTCAGGGCGGCTTACAAAGGAAGGCACAATTCGATGCCTATGTCAAATATACATATATACAGCACAATTAAACCATTAACAGGTTAAAATCATCAGTACATAACACAATCAGTAAACTAATCTCACGCTCACTGTTCAGAGTTCCATCAATCCATTCCGTTCCGTCCATTCCTGTCCATCATCAAGGTCCTTCCTCTGTCTGCCAGATTACCCAAAGGCCTGGCCCCAAATCCATGTTTTTAATTTCTTTCTAAAAGAGAGGAGGGATGTCGATGACCTAATTTCCCCGGGGAGTGAATTCCACAGGTGAGGGGCCACCACCAAGAAGGCCCTGCTCCTCGTCCCCACCAATCTCACTTGTGATAGAGGTGGGGCCGAGAGCAGGGCCTCCCCAGAAGATCTTAAACTCCGAGGCAGGACGTAGAGGGAGATGCGTTCAGACAGATACGCTGGGCCGGAGCCATATAGGGTTTTGTAGGTGAAAATCAGCACTTTGAATTGTGCTCGGAATTGGATCGACAGCCAGTGGAGCTGACATAACAGAGGGGTGGTATGCTCCCTGTATGATGCTCCCGTGAGTAATCTAGC